GGATCTTTAGGTTGGTGAAGGAGGGCCTCGAGCTTTTAATTTAATTCTTTTTACTTGTCGCTTTAATTTCTAGTACTAAATTTGTTTGTTAGCTAAACATCAAATTCGTTCATACTGTATTGGAACTGAACGCTCAAGTATGTGTAATAATTTTCACTACTCCACTACAAAACCTTCCAAAGGCACAACTCATAGGATGGTCACGTTCACCTCCCTCAGGTTCACGGTTACAGAGTCGCTTAAAATAGTGACAAAACAAACAATGAACCTATCACAATTCACTTGAGCACTCCACTGGATTGCTCCGGGGCTCACATAATATTGGCAAAGAATAGCGTAGGGTCTGTCGTGTTTATTTTTAGACTGTCTACTGTGGGCTATGTTTCGGCACTATTCGGCAGGAGCGCATTGAGGTGTGCCGGCTTATTAATATTAATGTGCAGCCAAACTCGCAACGAGTGTCGTCATCGTTTTGGTTATCCCCAAGAGTCATTTACAGGTCAGGTTACACTGTTGCATATCCTTTTCTGTTTAGCTAAAGCGCGTGGACTTGGGCATGGCATAGTAGATGTTTTACGGCGCTATGCTATAGGCATAGAAATGACAGTTATGGACAGATATTGAACACCTTGAACTTGTGAAATTGTCTGTCAGAGTGACTTTCATTTTCATGATCAGCATCAATGATACTTATACGAAATGTGTTTAACTCTAATTGGTCCTTACATCGAAGAGATCACGTGATCTGTCGCCATCATCACTATCATCCCCTCCACCACCACCACCACCATCATCATCATCATATTCAAAAAACGTTTTGTTTGTTTGTTTGTTTGATTTAGTAAAAGTTCTTTGGCACTTGCAACACAATAGGCCATAACATTGCCGAAGAACAGAGGTGTTACAATAGAGAAAAAAATGAAGGAGGAGAAATCGGGGGGATAGACGTTTGATAGGGACCAAGTAGCAAAGCAGACCAGAACACCTACATTTAAGACTTCAGTATCTTTTTCATTACCCTTTGACATAGAGCTATCACACACGTCCATCTATTGAGTGCGTCAGTCTACATGTCCATCTGTTGGGTTCGTTAGTCTGACGGTTAGGTACATTAGTCGGCCGATACAAAATAACAGTGAACCATTAACCTTCTAATTAGCTGGAGCGGTTAAGATAGTTTTTACCGACAGACTAAAGGGAGATATTGCATGGGTTTTTGTTGGAGATCTTTGTTTGTTCTCTTCACTTTTATTCCTAATGTTAGAAGATACTCAAGGACAGTGAGATAACCCTGCTGATTCTGATACATCATTTTATTTTATATTATTTTCGCATTTAGGCCTAAAGCACACCACAACACATATCTAATGAGGAATTCATCATGTGTGGAAAAATAAAATCGAACCTGCTTTAACGACCATCTGTCCTAAACGATTACCTGTACTGACAACCACTTTCAACTCTCCCCCCCACCCCTCCTCTGACATCCTTGCAATTTTTTGCTATATATTTTCATTATGGCGAGGTCCAGATGGAAGGGGGGGGGGCTGTCTAAGATGACCACTTTTCTCCTCGATTATGAGTTTTGGATGCGTAGGACTGGTTGGTCTCAATCACTCATACGCTGTAGGCTGATGACTCGCTACACTAGAATTAAAAAGTTCTATCAGTGATCAGACATTTTTGGCTGTTTTGACTTACTAAGACTAAGACCATGAGGTTAAAGGCCAAATGTTATATCTGCTCCGTCAAAATCGAAAGATTATTCGGAGTCGTAATCAAGATATTCAATGAATTGATTTCGGAAAAGCTTGACATGTCGTGAAACTTAAAATTTGACGTCAAATTTAACAAAACCAGGTATTGCGCAGATTGAACTTTGTAACTCTGAGATACTGATTTGTAGAAGATCATGATTGTCAAACATTAAGGAGTTTTTGGAAACTCCACACAATCAGAGGTACGAAAGCTGTCCCAAACCTATGGTGAAATTTGCTCTCTCTCTCTCTCTCTCTCTCTCTCTCTCTCTCTCTCTCTCTCTCTCTC